ATATATATATATATATATATATATATATATATATATATATATATATATATATATATATATATATATATATATATATATATATATATATATATATATATATATATATATATATATATATATATATATATATATATATATATATATATATATATATATATATATATATATATATATATATATATATATATATATATATATATATATATATATATATATATATATATATATATATATATATATATATATATATATATATATATATATATATATATATATATATATATATATATATATATATATATATATATATATATATATATATATATATATATATATATATATATATATATATATATATATATATATATATATATATATATATATATATATATATATATATATATATATATATATATATATATATATATATATATATATATATATATATATATATATATATATATATATATATATATATATATATATATATATATATATATATATATATATATATATATATATATATATATATATATATATATATATATATATATATATATATATATATATATATATATATATATATATATATATATATATATATATATATATATATATATATATATATATATATATATATATATATATATATATATATATATATATATATATATATATATATATATATATATATATATATATATATATATATATATATATATATATATATATATATATATATATATATATATATATATATTATGCATAATAATTTTATAACCAGTATGATATTGTTTATCATATCAATATACCCTAATATTAATAAAAAAAACATTTCATGACACATACAAAAATATAATAACAGATTTGTAATATCTAAACGTGATTAATACACTACTACATATATTTATAATACTACAGTAAGCTGAAAAAAGGGGAATAACCAAAATACCTTCAGCCAATCAGAGCCCAGCAAGTCCTGCCTATTTACATATTGTGCCTGACTGCTGACCTAACTTTGACTCCTCTGCCACAGAGAGTGAAGGTGAAGTCAGCAGTGTGTATGCGTGGCCGATGTATGTGTGTATGCGTGTGTGTGTGTGTGTGTTTGTGTGTGTGTGTGTGTGTGTGTGTGTGTGAGAGAGAGAGAGAGAGAGAGAGAGAAATGCTCTTCCGCTGCTTTTACAGCTTAATTGGCCTCCACATAAATCAAGGGCTTCCTCTAACAATGTTCGGCCCTGACTTGTTCAGCTTTTACAACATCATGTATGCATGTATCACAGAAGGACAACATAAAATCAGGAGCTCCTGAACTGATCCTGACCTCTACAGCGAACACGTCCTGAACCAGAGAGAATAAAGCTGCTCTACTGGCCAACATGAAGAACTGCAGGTGTTGTAATTCCTTCAGTCTTTGAGATTTCTTCAGGATTGCAGAAGTAGAACTCTTTTAAAGGGATAGTTCACCCATTATTGAAAATGTAGCCATTATTTATTCTCCCTTAAGTGGTTTCAAACCATGTTGAACACAAAAGATGATATTCTAAGGAAAGCTGAAAACCTGTAACCATTGACTTTAATAGTCGGAATAATAAATACTATGAAAGTCAATGGTTACATGTTGCCAGCTTTCTTTAAAATAACATCTTTTGTGTTCAACATAAGAAAAAAACTCTTTGTAGCATGTAATGGGTGAGTAAATTATCGTTTTCTTAAGGTTTTTTCCTCTTTCGTCAATTGGTGAAGTTTGTTCCTGGCCACTGGCTTGCTTGGTTTGGGACCTGGGGTCTGTTCTTCGTAACTCGCTTAAATGATCTAAGATTATTTGGCAGATCCCGGATCTTTTAATCTTGATAACTGATCTCTCGCTAATTTGGTTCTTCAAATGAGTTCGCGAATCAGATTAGAATATCTGGATAAACTGTTCTGAGATCGCTGCGTGTGTTGTGAAGGACAGATCTATCGATCCTCGAAATCATGATCAGCAATGCAACGATTGGCTGACGGCACAGCAGCATAATGACATCATCTGATTAATATTCAATTATCCATGTGAGCAAAATTACATCAAATTAGCAGTAAACGGCTTGTTAAATAAGACACGCAATAACCTTCCACATTTGTTGTGAGCTGCAGGCTTTCCACTTTCATGTGTCAAGAGTATTCATCATGTATTTCAATGCATATCAGTGTATTTAGTTCTACATTTAGAACATTTTTTCTGTATTATAGTAGCCGTTTTTTAATCGGTGTAAAGAATACTGGTTGTTTACAAAAGCGGTTTTATATTGGTAAAGGCGTCTGCAACTTTTGTGAAGCATCAAATTCACCGGCATATTAACTATCAAAACATGTTTATGACTGCTGAAATGTATTATTGCTTTAAAAAAAGTCACATATTGTGCATTTCTATTATACACAATTTGTACTAAAGCGATCTAAAAAGTTCATATCAATAAGTTTTCTCTTTGCACGACCAGGTGGCAATCTTTGTACTTTCATTTCGAGGGTGCAGATTGCATACGTTTTATTAATATGTATAACTTTATTTATTTTATTAATGACTATAACTTTATATATATAGTTTAAAAATATGTACCATTTTCCCAAGTGTATATAACTACTACTGTAAGAAAATATCAGAATTCGGAACATACTTTCTGTATTATCTTTGCTTGAACTGAGCCGATCTAATCCTGTTTATATGAATTGAACCTGCTCCCGATCAGGTTTGACCTAGCAGAACTGTTGCTATGACAACAACTCTCGGATCAGCTTTGAAGAACGAAATGATCCTGGATCGTGTCAAATCGTCAATATCCAAATCCAGCTAACTGAGTAATCCACGTACAAAGAACGGACCCCTGGTCTGTGCATTGATGGATTTGCTCTTCAGTGTTTGGACTTTCAGCAGTGAAAATTAAACCACACTGAACCAAACTAAACTGAACTTCACCTCTGAAAACTGGACTGAAGCAGTTTCTGTTTACTAGATCTCTATGTTAAGCTTTTTTGACACAATCTACACTGTAAAAGCGCTAAAAAAAATAAAGATGAATTGAACTGTCTCTTTAAGAAGGCTCAAGAGAAAGCACAGCCTATAATATTCAGGATTTAGTATAAAGTGAATTTGAGACACAGAGCGCAGGAATGAAGTGATTTGGCCATCAGGGGGCAGGATGGAGATTATTGAGTTTTTCTTACCCGTTTCGTCCTGCAGGGAGTTTTCTTCATAGAAACCTAAAGAGGAGAGGGGAAGAGAAAAACAGACTATTAGATATTATTTATGTGGAATTACTACTAGAAAACATGTACTTATTTTGTAGACACTTATCCAAAGTGACTTACACGTGAGGATAAAAAGAGCACTTAAGATATTCAGAGAGTAGCAGAATATGATGCCATAACAAGTCTATTTATTTGATTTATTCATTTAGCACGCTCGGATAATACTAAAAGGAGAACGTGTGTCCGACAAGTGCTTTGCAAAAGCATAATGATTTTCCTATTCAAAGTCAAATCAGAATTTATTTTAAAAATAAGATATTTCTAATAATTCAAAATCTACACTGAAAAAACTTTCATTCAGAAATTGCAAATAAATTTTACAAATAAAATTAATTCAGCCATTAACAAATTAAATTTTATTGTAAAACGTACAGACTCCAATGATGTTTGTTTTATTTACAATGTCAGAAAATACTTTGTGCATTTTTAAAATACAATACTATTATTTTTAAACAATATAAATTAATATATATTTACTTTACACTACGTTCTCGATGAATGAATGAATGTTTAGCTGTGCTGAGTTTCCTTGAGATAGCATATTTTCCATTACAATAAAAAATAATTTACATTAAACTATTTGCTTACAAGAAATGCACTGTTTAAAATATTATTTACAGGATATACAAGACTTATTTTATTTAGAAGAGATGCTGCTTGTTTTCCACTTTTAATATGAAAAACATTGAATATTATTTATTTTGTTTTCAAAAGTGCAAGTTATTTATTTGGTAAGACTTTATTTTGATGGGCCATAAGAGTATTAGTTGACTGTCTGCTTAATATCTGCTGATACTGCTCCTTCAACAGACATTTGACTGACTATAAGAACTTACACTAACCCCAACCCCAACCTAACATTCATTCATTCATTTTCTTGTCGGCTTTGTCCCTTCATTAATCCGGGGTTGCCACAACGGAATGAACCGCCAACTTATCCAGCAAGTTTTTACGCAGTGGATGCCCTTCCAGCCAACACACACATCCACACACACATTCACACTCATACACTACGGACAATTTAGCCTACCCAATTCACCTGTACCGCATGTCTTTGGACTGTGGGGGAAACCGGAGCACCCGGATAAAACCCACGCAAACGCATAGAGAACATGCAAACTCCACACAGAAACGCCAACAGAGCCGAGGCTCGAACCAGCGACCTTCTTGCTGTAAGACGACAGCACTACCTACTGCGCCACTGCTTCGCCCCCCCAACCTAACAGTCTACTTATAATCTACTGAGAATTAGTTGGCATGTAGATGCAGTGTAACTTAATTCAACAAACGGACCATTAAAATAAAGTGTGACCATTTATTTTGACTTTTATTATTTTTTTTAAGAAAGAGTGACTGTTTGTTTTGGGCAATGTGTGTTTTAATTTCAGTCGTTCAGCCTTGATGTTCAATAAATAAACAAAGATAGTAGATAGCGTGTGTTTCCTTCAATTATCTTAAAGTCAAGTAATGCACCCTTCATTCAAGCATCTCTCACTTGTAACATGTGAAAATACTTACTGTACAAAACCTGTCAGTAAACCATGAGGGCCAAAAAAATAAATAAATAAAATAATCGTTCATTAATTGTAATCGAGTTTAAATGCTCAAATAATTGAGATTTTGATTTTATGCCAAATCGTCCAGCCATAATTCAAATCTTATTTTGTATTTAGCCGAAGAACGACACGCATATGTTTGGAAACACTTGAGCATGAGTAAATAGTGAGTCAATTTAATATTTGCGTGAACTATCCCCTTAAATTCCTCCAAATAAACGTGTTTGCAGGCATTTGATCATGATGTTTCTGGGTTGAATGTTGGATATTAACATTGACCTGACATTAGATTCTGACCTTGGGGTACAACGTTGGGGTACAACAAATCATGCTGCTGGGATAATTTGCCTTCAATAAAAACTTCAAGTAAACTTCAAGTAAAAACACTACCATAAAAAAAATCTGTAACCTGGTTAACAGAATTTTTTCCTAAGTAATTCATTGTAAATTCACTTTCCCAGAATTCCCTGCTTGTTTATTTGTTAACTGGTAACTTTTTTTTAATGTTAATGTAAAAATCTGTAACCTGAAGGTATAATTTCCCATGTCAGAACTGCGTTCAATTCACTTCCAAACACCATCCAAGAGGTTGTTAAAGCACACAGGACAGAAT